TGAAAAATAAGTAGTACAAAACATGGCAAAATGCAAAGTAAAAAAGGAAAACATAGTCCTTGACACAGCACCGTTGGAGCAGCGACTCAGCCCGACGAGCATTGAGCTTGGCAGCAGGCAAGAGGAGCGTTGGCGAGGATGTCTCATGTGCTGGGAACGACTCTAGAAATAAATCTTTCTTTGTCAGTGTATCCCCTTTTTCATGTGCTATCGTGGGGAAATTATGTGAGCAATGAAGTTCCACGGTTCGAATTATGCAGTTTTGTGAATCACAGAGATGAAGATCGAAATCCAAAAATGAAGCATGTTATTCGTACCATTTTTGATCGAAATTCGTTCTTCGAAAATCGCAGTTATGCAGAAAATTTCTTTCCTTTTTTGGAGTCTGCTTTATGAAAATTTACAAACGAAATTCGTAAGGGCAGAAGCAAGAATTGTGGAGTTTTTGTTCGCCAAGGCGGTTAGCCTGCTTACAAAAGAAGCATCCATACTTTGGCTGGCAGGAAGTGACGAGATGAGTCGCTAGTCCCAAGCAGCGCTCGCAGCGACCCTTCTGTTTTAGACGATCGCGGCGAGCACTCAAGGTGGGGTAGATATTGCACGAATTTGCCCAATGAAGGCGACCGCAAAAAACACATTCTGTACGAGGCTGTGAATTCTGCTGCTGCATTGGGCGTTGCGAGCACTGAGCAGAAATTTGCGGAAGCTGTTGTGGTGGCGCGGTGGCTATCTGATGTGGATGCGTATGGTGATGTACTGGCTGCGGTGGCACTGAAATCGAAATGAAATAACATCGACAATGGCTGGAAATGAAATGGAATAGTTTTTTTTTGTAAGCTATGGTAAACTTGATTGATAAACATGACCAGAGTACTTTAGAATTTTCGCCTTTTCTCAAAACCTGTACCTGAAGTAGTAGTTGGATCTTCTAGCTTCGCTTTCTTGCCTTGGTTGACTGTATCGTCAGGGATTGCTTTGCGCTTCTTCATTTGACGCGCATTACGAGTCATCCACATTTCTTGCGTGAGATGTTGTACCGCACTTTCAAGGCTACGAATGGCTAGAGTTAGGTCGTAGAGAAATGATGGCTGGAGGGAGTGCTGTTGATTGATTGGAACAACAGCATTGATTCTGGTTGTTCGGCTGATCCATGGAATTTGGTGGTATATAAGTCGATTGGTTGACAAACTGAGGCTGATCGGCGTTTGTGGAGAACTCAACGTTTGATAGTGGCGCGAAAATGGGTGTCGATTGTTTGACAACTGGTGATGACCCTTCGACGCTACCCCTTCGAGCTCGAAATCGAGGGGGGTCAGTGTTTCGTTTTGATCGCTCATGTCTGGAAAACGAAGATGAGTTAATGGACTATGAGATATGCTATCCCAAATCACGAAAGTTTCGTCGATTGTGGTAAGTGTAGGATCACTGAGGATAAGGGTTGATAGATCCTACTATATATAAGCGGCTAGCGTGTGTCTGTTGGTGTGTCCGTGTGTGTGTGTGTTTGACCGGAAATTCATAGCTCGAGTCACAGTAACGATAGCGCAGTGGTTCTTACATATGTTATAGGGGGTGGGGACTGGGGACACAAGTGGTACGTGATAGGAACTGATAACGACTGATTAATAGCCGATAAGAGGGGCTAAGAAAGCGAGCATCGCCAATTTCGTTTTGCCGTTCATATTGGTAAAAGAGCGTCTATACTTACAAGTGTTACGTGGGGCGGTCCCGGCACATTGACATTGGTGGTACATGATTGGAAGCGATAGCAACTGATAATGGCTGATAAGATGCGCTAGAACGCAAAAGTCGTCGATTCCGTTGCCTGGCTCGCCTTGACACCAGAGCAACCATACTTACAAGTGTTATGTGGGGTGGGACGGGGACATTGTTGGTGGGTGGGGGGTGCCCAGAAATTCGGAGTAAACGGATTAGATAAGGGTCGATAAGGGTAGCGCCAGAGACGCCACCACGCGACCGGCCCCCGCGTGGACACCAGTCAGCAACCCATATTTACAAGTCATTAGGCTGGGGCTTGCGGACGGGGGTGACATTGTTTGGAAGCGCGGTGGGCTGCCAGAAATTCGATAACGAATGATAAAGCGGCCCGATAAGCGTGCGCGCCATGAAACCGCTGCAGTTCGTCGATCTCCATTACACAGGTTGACACTGGAGCAGGCCGTACCTCACAAATTCGTTGTGCGCAGTTGACGCTTATAGAAATTCGTCGTTACCGCTGGATAAACCCTCAGACTCAGCAATATGATTAAGTTCAATTCCGGGTGACTCTGGCACTATTGCAAGAAAGCCATATTCATTCGAACGCATCACTCATTCCGGCGTTGTCTTAAATCAATGGTGGGAATGTAGCATGAATGATTACCAGCCACCTCAGCTCTGCACGCATCTTCAGCCAATTGATGTAAGGCAGGGTTCATATTTCATTTTCTCTTTTGAGAATGACGCGGCCAGGCCTGCCGAAATCTATTCACGCGCTTAATATCTTAATGTTTTAAGAAAAAGGCTGGGAATTGTTTATCAGAGTTTCGGCGCAGTCTCAGTAGTACCACTCAGCTCCAGACGTTTATCCACTGGCCTCCGTATTCTTCACATGAGCTTCTAGTGAAACTGCGCTGGACGGGGTCTAACATAGTCAACTGTTTGAGATCGTTAATGGGACGTCTCCTTCATGCCGACAGTCCATTTGGCGTGCCGGACACAGTGCGCGGTCATCATTTCCCAGGCGGTGCCGGGACTGGGCCACGTATGCCGCGGCAGATTTAGCGGTGGCGAGATGCAAAAACTACGGTCATTACATGATTCACGTAGCGGCAAGATCAGCAGCCTGCAGTCGCTATGGCCGATATAATTTCTTTTCGCTCTCTCGGCACTCAATAGTCTTATAAACGCTAAGAAGGGAATTATACGAAGGACTACCTCTAAGATTTGAAAAACGATGAAGGAGCTAGATAGAATTCAAAAGTCGCAGAATGATGCGTGCTACAAGGAGAGGCAACTTGAGAAGCAAGCGTATTGTAAGGCGTACTATCGATATGGTAATTGCGGCAACTCGGAGTGGGAGGGGCATAAGCGGTGTCGGCACTCTCTTTCTCTGAATTCCTTGGCTTGAGGAGAACAGACCTCCAAGCGCAATTAAGTTGGTGATCGCGAAGGAGATGAAGATCGCAGCCACCGTTACTGTCAGAACGATGAGTGAGAATAGGAAGTATTGCTTGAAATTGTCAAAAATGTGGCTAATATCTGGAAACGAGAAGCCCTCTGTTTCATCTGTTCGCGCCTTGTTGCTTATCAGTTTGCGAAGTGATTGAATTGGATTAAATGGATTTACATAATAGAGGATGCCCTGTATGGTGAATGCGTAGTTGTTCTTTCCACATTTGGCACGACATAGTTGGTGGAATCGCGCGGTTTGTGAGAAGAACCGTATTGTGTTTCGGTAGCCGTCTTGAGAGCATGATAGAACAAAGGTTTGTGTTGCACATTCGACTTCTGCGAGGCCGTATTGGATTGATGAGTGGCACGTTATTGTTGTAGCTGCACCTAACAAGCAATTGTAACAACCTTGCACTTCTGTTGAGGAGAAGGAGCATTCAAAGCTATCAAATATGAGTGATAATTTCGCTATTGTTGAGTTGAGTGTTATTGCTAATTCGGCGTTGGCTGCTTTCGTCTGAATTAGTGCACCCCAATTTTCTGAGGGTCGTATGATGGTGCTCGGAAGAGTTATTGGTAATGTACGACTGAGATCGAAATATGAGCTGACATTGTTTTGCTCGCAGTAGCAAGTTATTTCGTCCTCTGCTGGGTTGCAAGTGCAGCTATTTCTAACCGTGCAATTTGAAATTTTGCCCGTTTCGTTGTGCTCGTGATGGCGACATGCGAAATGAAACTGGACTTTGGGATCTAAGACTGCTGTTGACTGAGAGCCTTTAATGAAGTTCCGATGAATGAGGTTACTTGGGATTACATGGAGCGAAGTCAGTTGAAACTTAACATTCGCGTAAGTTTCCTGCATGTTCTCGCTGAGTTCTAAATGATATTGCATTGGTCGCTTGTTTGCTAATTTCATTTCGAATGTGAATGTAGCTGAAGGTGACCACGTGGGACAATCGTACACTTCGTAAACTTCATCGTCGATGGGTTCGTGGTATATGCGATAGAAAAGGCAGCCTGAGGAAGGAAGCCCGCATGTGCATCCCAATCCTCCGCAGGATTCTGTGCAGAACGTAATGCCGGTGTAATTGTTTGCAATTTCAAGTTCTGGGACAAGAGTGTCGGGGTGTATTTTCGCGCATTTCGCGCCAGTACAAGTTCCCATGAGTGGGCATCGTTTGCTATACTGAACCTTTGTTATTGTGTTTTGAGTAAAAAATAACGTTTCCTTGTTGCATCGCATTAAAATCTTCCTCAACGTTAGCTTTATTTGAACTGTAGTGTAGTTGCCTTTTCGTATTTGGAGGCAGACCTCGGGTTGGATTGGATTAATTTTAATTAAAATTTGTCTTTCGTCTGAGCAAGCTTTGTCATTGGCGTTGCATTCTGTGAGAAGTGATTCTACGACCACTGTTTGTTGACATGACTGTGCAACTAATGCTGAAGACAACGCAATGCAAATTGTAAATATGCGCACGATGCCTGATGGTC